ATTGGGGGTGTAGAAATAGCCGGTTATGTGGTAAAGCAGGATGGGTATGCAATGGTTACTATCCATATATATATGCAATGGCTGGCTCTACTATGTAATCCAGGACAGCAACACATTACTTGAAAGGCATAAAACATTAGAAATAAATAGGAATATGCATAGAGAAGTATGTGTTGTCAATGAAAGTCATATAGGGTATCATTGAAAGAATTAGGATATAGAGGCATTAAACAACAGTGTAGAAGTTTTGAAGAGCACAAGTGCAAGGAATCACATAAGAGAATATATCCTAAAGAGCTGAGAAGAAACCCACAATATGAGCATGTGCTATTGCAAAATTGAGGCAAATTTCCTTTTTGGGTTGCTATAAGTTGCATCAAAATATCCCCAAAAGGAAGTCACATGTCCAATATGTTCAATTGAGATTATGTAAGTTGAACATGCAACCTAAAATGGAAGCTGTGCCACATTATTGATCCAATCACACACAGCCACATCAAGATTAGATTTCTCTGGGATTTGATTATCAGGGACCACCATTGAGTAAGCACCAAATGTCAATCTAGGTCTGAAAGATAAGATGAGATTGGAACTGGCATCATTGGCACCATCAAAAATTGATGCGCAATCAAAAACAGAGCCATTTGCCGTGGCAGTAGAGCATGTGATTGATGCTGACAAAGAAAGTGATGAGAAACCAAAGTTGTAGCCCTCACAAAACTGAACAACTTTCATCTATACATATGGGTGATCAGATCACTGGTTGGAGCGCAGCATCCAAAATGGTTCCCATGATGGGATCACTTCAGAAATGATGTGGATCAAAGTTTTGCACAAAAAATGGGTAAACCTAGCCTGGCAGAATGCTCAAACAATCAGCCAAAACAGCCTAGAAACGGCCCCAAAAATGCATTTTTTGCCCCCGGCTGCCAGCTGGGGTCCCACCCACCAGTCGCAGGTACATACCTGCACTCAGGTAGATACCAGACTGGTACATACCACAGTGGTAGCTATGCTGAAAACTGGCCTCTAAGGTGGGTCCCACTTTCGTCATGACACCCCTTAGAGGCCTAGTTACCTGTCTGACTGTAGTGCCTCACAGCACATGTAGCTCATTCTGTTCAAGTGATTTTGGAGTTTGTGAAATAGGGAGTCTTCCAGGGTCTTGTAGAGAAACAGATTGACAATATACTGGCAGAACATGCCCACAATCTTGCGATAGTCCATGATCTGCAAGCAGACACCCAAAACCTGCTTGGTCCAATGGCCAAGTGTTGTGCTGATAAGGTGGCTGCTGAAGTCGGAATTGATCCTGGGACACATAGACATGTAGTAGCATTTGGCGTCAATGGGACCCTTGAAGCATGAGATGAGAAATTGCTCAAAGGGACAGAATACGGCCAAATTCCAGATAAGGTCCTTGGATATGGATTTGACAGGGCTGTGTGGAGTGCAGTGCTTATAGGAAAACTGCATGCTTGTCTTCTTGAGCACAGCCAGAAGACAGTGTGTAATAGAGTAGCACAACATTGTGTGTAGCTCCACCAGGGAGGTTCCGGAGCCACTGGCAAGGGCTGCAGCATGGACAGAGGGGCCACACAAAACAAGGCAGTGGATGGCAAGTATGAGGCAAAGCTCTTCAAAGTGTTCCAGAAGCTGTTGTGTAGTATGTAGCTTCCACCATTGCTGCCCATTGAGCTCATACTTGAAGTGGTCTTTGAGATCAGAGTGAGACAGGAGCCAGCAGGGATACAACTTGGCCCAGTTGTCAAAGCAGTTGGATGGTATTTCAAGGAAGAAGAAGCTGGGAGCAAAGTTGTGTGGCTTGTTGACAAGTTCCTTGATTTTGAAGGGAGGGAAGCACAATGGGTCAACACCTTTACCAAAGAAGATATTGTTGCTGAGAATGTCAATGTATTGTTGGGCGAGAGACTCCAAGAGGGACTTGAATTGGAGGATGTTGATGCAATGACCAACGTAGATCAGCTGCGTATGCAACTTGTTTTCCATCTGAACATCAGTGTTGTTGTATTTGTCCTGTATCTTCTTCACGGTGTGATGTACATCATAGATAAAGGTGCAGGGAGTGTTGTTGTTGGCGACAAGGAACTTTTTGACCTCATGATACACTCTGCGTCACCATCAGTATGGTAGTATTTGTACATCAAATGGATGCACTGCTCAGAGGACATGAGACACATGGGCATTTGAAGATTCATCTCCATCAGCATGATGCCCCGGTTGAGCCACTGGAGCTTTGCACAGATGTGTATGATGTTTTCGGCCCTGATCCAGGTTTCCTTCCCCATGCATTGGGCAACAAGATAGCAATTAATTGGTAGAACCCAGTTGTTGAGGCCATGGTGCGGTTTCTCATGTGCAAACAGGGCAAAACACGCTCAATGAAAGAACAAAGCAATGAGGTCTTCATTCGGAAGTGTTACGCAGGTCTAAATGCTGCAGAGTCTTGCGAGAGCATTGGACTGAGTTTGATTGAGTAGAAATTTGAGATGTTGGGCATGGCTGGTGTGGGTGCAGAGCATAGTATATGTGAGATCAGTGAAGACAGCGGAGTACTGATGGAGGGAGTTGTCCTTGAGCGGTCTCAGTTCCTTGCAGGATGATTCTCTAGAAGAGACAGTTAGAACATTGTACTGTGGTTGTCATAGTTCGGCCACTTTTTAATCTTATCTTCGATGATCTTATCTTATCTCGGCACGGCTTATCTTATCATGGATCCCGGCATCAGACGGCCCGGGCGAGGGGTTCGAGGGATTATCCTTATTGATTCAAGGCTGCGCGACATATGCTCCGGAAGGTTCTATTACAACCCATGACCAGTGTTCCATGCGGTACATAGCCTTATGACTCATTAGTTGTAGATATGACTCAGACTGGACTTGGGTATAAATACTCTAGCTACTTGGTTGTATTCTCCAGTCTTCGAATTCACTTCTCTTTTCGACTTTGTTTTTGGGTTGATTGTCACATAATTCGAAGACTCCCCTCATACCCTCCTACCTCATACCTCTTATTCTGCATCCCGCACCGCTACGCCCGCTATATCCTCTTAACCCTTATCAACCAACTTACCCTTTTACCGAATCATCTAGTCGTCCTCCACTATCGCAGTGAAGGGTTCATATTGAGCAAACAGCACCAGGCCACGGGTAACGTTGAGCCCAACCCAAGCCTTACGGTAGCTACAAGGAGTGCTGCGGAGACCTTCGGGAAAACGCACCTCGGGATCATCGGGCACGTGAAGAGCTAGGCCCGGGATCTTTTTGCTAGCAAAAGAACCCCTCCTTGAGTGCTTGTACAGCACACGAATTCACCATTTCGTACCGATTCCCATCGTCATCTGGGAGTCCGTCTCCTCCCCCCCTCATACCATCGTCGCCCGATCTGGCGCATCAAAACCAACCCGAGGCCTTCGATCCCTACCTTACCCTCCCGCCGCCTGAAGACGAGATTCCTGACCTCGACGAATTGCCCTCCGAACAACCACCCTCACCCCCACCTATCACACCTGCTCCTACCATGTCAGGACATCACCGCATCACCCTCGCCGCCAACCCCCCCTACTTCGATGGGGACAAAACCAAGTACATGGGCTTTGTGGACTCATGCACCACCTACATCGGTGCATACCGGTCGGAATTCTCGCAGGATGAGACGAAGATCCTATTCATCCTCTCCTACCTCCGCAACGAGGCTGGCACAAGCTGCGCTGCCTCAAGATGGGCAATGAACTGGAAACAGCGCAACTTCGAGAGCCTTAATGGGATAAAGGCTGGGGTCACCTCGGCAACCTTCCTGGAGGAGCTTCAGAGGGCCTTCGGGGATTCTAACGCGGAGCAAGTCGCCGCCGCTCGACTCATGGCCCTGCGCCAGAACAAACGATCCTTTGCGGATGATATCTCCGACTTCGAGATGCTGGCTTCGGATGCGGGGTACAACGTGGACACCGCCACCGACGACAAGGGCGAGTATAAGAAGGGGGATCAAGACAATATCCTCATCGAGTTCCTCGAGCGTGGGCTCAGTAGCGAGATCGCCAGTCGCCTCTATAACACTGGTGTCCCCCTGCCCAAGGTGTATAGCACCTTCAAGGACTGGTGTGTCAACATTGAGGCGAACACTCTTCGTGACCAGCTGCGCAAGGCATTGTACGGGCACCCCACGCAACGACCACCTCCCCAATTCCGCTCTCAGGCTGCTCCAACAACGCCTGCACCCGCTCCGACCCGACCCGCTGCCAACGAGCCAGTTCCGATGGAAATCGATCGCACCCATACCCGCAGCCGCAATATCATCTGCTACAACTGTCAACAGCCCGGGCACATTGCGCGGAACTGTCCGGAGCCAAGGAAGAAGCGCACATTCTTCAATCGGGCCACGATGCTGGAAGAGATCGAGAACGGGGACAAGGACAACGAGTTCCTCAAGGAGATTGCCGAGAAGCTGCGTGAGAAGGGTTTTTGAAGCGCTCCACTCCTCTAGCCAAGGAGGTGGAGCGCCCGGACTATGGACGTTTTTCTGTACTTGTTTCAATTAAAGATACGAACAATATGCCTCATCATACATACACGCTCCCCGACTCACTACGCACAAATATTCACGATTTTCTTGTTGCCGAAATGGAAAAGGAACGTAAGGAAAAGATAGCTTTATAAAGAAAATATTTACAAGATAAAAAGGATCAGAAGATAGCGGCTGCGGACAAATTATTTTTGGACTCCTACGTATTTATGGCTCGTGGAGAAGGAACCACGTCAACAAAGACCGAAAAGGGGAGCATTGCTCCGGAGGCTCGATCCTTGAAAAAGGAGGAAGCGCCTAAGGAATCTGCCGAAATCGAGGCTCCAGAAGCACCCAAACGCACCAAGGTGCCAGATGCCATCCAGAGAAAATTGGCAGCCGAGAAACAGAAGGGCCCCCAGTCCAGCAGATTGGCGCAGGAATTGCACAATTACCAGGCCGAAAGAAAGAGGCATTCGATGGACGTATATGTCCAGATCACGGGTCTGGACTCGGGGAAAACACGCGGAGTCAGGGCGCTGCTCGATAGCGGCTGCAGTACCTGTTGCATCGATACCGACTATGCACGGGCAGAGAAGCTGGATATCCAAGAGCTTCCACAACCTATTGTGGCTCGTAATGCCGACAACACCGAGAACATCAGCGGTCGGATCACGCACTATGTCGACCTAAGGATGAGAATCAGTCCTCATGAGGAGACACGCACGTTCCTTCTGACGTGCTTGGGGAAGGCCCGGATCTTCATTGGCCTTGATTGGCTGACGGAACACAACCCGGAGGTGGATTGGCAAGAGCAGACGATGAGATTCAGCCGATGCCCAGAACGGTGTCACATGAGGGGTCACGAGGAGCACCAAGCAATGATCGACATGGACGCAATTGACCTGGACGCGGACGCACCGGATCTGGAGGAGGGAGAATCGATCCTGTTGGTCGACTTTGGGAAGGAAGTGGATTTACGGCTGAAGGAAACGCCGGCGCAGAAATTCGCAGAAGAAGCGGAAAAGGAGAAGGAGAGAATGACCGAGGGGAAGATTCCGGATCAATATCGGGAATTCGTCAAAGTATTCGCCAAGGAATTGTTCGACTCGCTGCCGGATCGACGAGCATGGGATCATGCGATTGAACTCAAACCTGGCTCCAAAGTGGTGGACTGCAAGGTGTACCCCTTATCGCGGAACGAGCAGGTCAAGCTCGACGGGTTCTTGCAAGAGAACCTGGCCAGTGGACGGATCAGGCCATCAAAATCACCCGTTGATAGGCTGGCTACCAGACGCGCTCTGCACCAGCTCTGTAAGGGCGTATTTTTGCGCTTTTTACAGAGTTTACTCTTCAACCACTCGGTGTATCGTGTCGCGGTTAACAGTGTTGCGCTCAGTAGGACTTATGGGTCTACTGCCCAGTCGACGACTGTGGATAGTGTCGACGATAGCAAGGCAGTCAGGCCACTACTGTGGAACTGGTCTTATGAGTCTACACCAGGCTCAGGGCCATTAGTGACGAACGCTTGGACCGCGACCATTCCCCAAAAAGGGATATGTCGTTGCGTCGACTTCTCAAAAAGGGTCATTCTCTGCAGATGAGAACTTGGGCTGAAGGGCTGAGCAATGCGCGACGTTCTCAATAATAGAACTACTACTGGACAGGACTTGGCGTTACAAGACTTAAACCATCTTGTCGCGGCAACTCCCGGTTTTGAGTTGGACGTTTTCCTCAGATCATGCCACGACGACGACTTGTCACATGTCAGGATCCATTCGATCACGGGACATTGTGGACGCGTCGCGGCGACACTTCCAAGTGTCACGGCGAGTCGCGCCCATACTCAAACACACTAAAATCGATACGGCTAGATCCGTGAACCGAGCCATGTGGGAGACGACTGGCGTGCCTAGAGCCATACGGCTTCTTGGGGCGCCCACGCTGGTCTCACATGCCAAGACATACCCGTTGGCCAATCCAGCACGTCGTATTCCAAAAGTATGACGCGGTGGGTTGACCCACATCAAAAGTATCATATGGACTATGGGGCGGGGTCCTGATCACTCAGGACCTGTCCGATCGTTCAACTTTTCAATTACCCTAAAAGGCAACCGATCTTAGATAGCGTAGCTACTATGCAGTTGTACAGGACTTTACTAAGCAGCGTCGTAGACAGTATAAGTAGCACGTCGTCTCTTTGTATTAGGGAGCTTTCCCCCGGACTGCGAATCACTATCATTTCAGATTGTTTTGTACAATTTGCGTGCCGCGTGATTCCACCCTAAGAAGTTCTGCCATCCCTGCCCGGTCGCGACGAGTTGCTCCCTGAGCACTTGTAGCTACTGTGATTTGAAGTTTTGAGTTGAGATATCAGAAAGTCGGATTCGCCGCATCTGGTATTGTCGCGGCATTTAGTGTCGTCGCCTTAGGGCTTTGTTGAGATCGTTCCACACCTCTAGCTTGGCAGTGCGTCGACTAGTTGTGCTCGGGTTGTTTTGGTCAGTTGGCAGTGCGTCGACTTGAGAACTTTGGTTCCACACTTCTTGCTTGGCAGTGCGTCGACAAGTTGTGCTCGGGTTTTGGACATTGGATATTGGCTGTTAGTTAGCAGTACGTCGACGCGGCATTTTGGTTCTACTAGTTGGCAGTGCGTCGACTCAGTACTTTTGGTTGTGTCAGTTGGCAGTGCGTCGACTTGACATTTTGGTTCTACTAGTTGGCAGTGCGTCGACTCAGTATATTGGTTGTATCAGTTGGCAGTGCGTCGACTTGATATTTAGGCTTTGCGTCACCATCTGGACGCTGTCGCTACAAGGGATCTTAATACTTCGTATTAAGCTCTGACTTGTTATATTGTTGTTGTGGATTGGATTAGTGTTGGTTGTGGTCGTATAGAAGATATTGGTTGAGACACCATTGTTTGCTATATATATATATTCTTGTCGTCGACTCCGTCTCCGCGACTATTGGATCTGCGTCTATTGAGAGTTGTGATTCTGGTGCTCTGTCCACCCCGAAGCCCTCGCATCTTTCACACACTGAGAAGCTGATTACGAGGAGTGTGAACGTGTTTATATTTGGGTTTACTTTCATAGTAGATTCACTAGTGAGCACGCCCTCAGCATTTCATCTGGAGCCCACCGCGAGGGGCTTCTAAAGTTTCATAAAACTTTAAAAATCAATAAACCGGGTTCTTTACCGCGACGTCGGATAGAGACCAAGGGTTTATCCCGCGAAGCAGTTTATTTCGATCCCAAGCTCCTGCGCGACCCCTTGAGGACCACGCGGAGATTGAGACTGAAGGAAACGCTTCAACTTCAGGACCTTTCGAAAAACCACGAAGGTCTGCAAGACATAAAACACCTTTGTATCTACCACCCTTGCCTTCCAAGGCAAAAGGAAAACAAAGAGTGAATTCGACGTCGAAGCTTCCAGCTTTAGACGCAGCTACTTCGAGTTCGACGACAATCAGTCGATCTCAGACTAGCTCACAAACCCTCTCAGAATTGTCTAGTAGCGTCACCGCTACAAACACGAATTCTAACAACATCCCTACTTCCCCTGTGACTTCAGTCGCGACAACTATGGCTCCAAAGACTGGGTTCAAAATCCCCCAACCTTGGGACACAAGTAGACCTATACTTGATGAAAAGGATCCCCTGTCGATTGAGGCATATTTGCGTCACTGCGCGCAGATCGTGGAGGATGGTGGCATCACAGATGTCAAACAAGCAAAAAGCATGTACATCCGTTATTTGCCGTCGCGGCAAGTGATGGACGTATGGGAAGGTCTCGATACCTATTCCGACGACACGAAAACTGTTGCGGAGTTCGAGGCCGAAATATTGAAAGGATACCCTGAGGTGTCCAAGCGAAAAACGGGGACCATGGCGGATCTAGATAGACTCTGTCGCGAGAACCGTGGAATCAAAATAACGGATGAAGGAGATTTGAAGCGTTTCGGCCTTCAAATGTATAGTCACTACAAGCAACTGTCAGTCCCTCCTGCCATTATCACCAACAAAGTCGCGTGTGAACGCTACATGCGTACTTTGGACTCTGAGTTCAGTACCGTCTTGAGGAACGCTTTGGCTACGAGTCAAGTATTCAATAAGCGCTATCAAACTCGCGCCGGGATAGCAAACGCTAATGTCCCCGCGACTGGAGTCAATCGGCAGGACGACCCCATCCAGCTAAAAGAATTAATGACGATGGCGGAAGAAATGGCGTCGACGTTGAGCAACGAAGACGAAATTCCCATAATCGCGCGACCTCCCAAGGTTCGCTTCGACTATGAGACTAGTCCACCCAACCATGCTAAGGTTGAGGAGTTGGAAAACTCGATTTCCAACTTGAAGGACTCATTTCTTCTACACCAAAAAGAGCTCCAGACTCAGTTGCAGGAAGCGCTGAAGACGTTCGTACAGACTGCTCGCGAAGCGCCCATACAGCGGTCGCGGCCAGTAGGCAACAACTCTTCTGTGCCCCACTTTGAAAGTCGCGCACAAGGAGGAGCTGCCGCACGGAACGACGACTGTCGCTACTGCGGACAAACTGGTCACTGGTCGAACGAGTGCCCGCTCAAGAGGTCTCACATTGAGAAAAACCTTCTCAAAGTCGACACCAAAGGGATGTGGAGGCTCTTCGACGACAGCTTCTTACCAAATGGAGAAGGGACTCAGGGGCAACGAGTAGAGGCTTATTGGAAGAAGAAGGGCAAATCCGTCAACTTCCAGGACTCCTACTACTTGGATCAGTTCGATAGTCGCGACAATGATGATATGTCCGACTACCCTGAAGAAGTGGCGGATGAAATACGCTCCCTTCGAAGTCAACTCATCCAATACGAGAGGAAGTCGTCGCGACCAACCCCAGAGAGTCGCGCTGAGCCAAAGACTCAACGAACTGCATCTGGTTCAACCAGCAATGCAATGGAAAGTGCCATGGGCCAATTCATGCAGAAAGCCATGACCGACGCCATGGCCGGCTACTTCAACAACATGAACAGTGGTTATCCTCAGACTCAGGAGCAGTTCATTCAAACCCGTCGTGGTGCGAATAGCCAACCTGAGCGCGACGATAACAACTCGGGTTTCTAAATGGTTCAAGGAAGGGGGCTAAACCCACAAACTCAGCCAAGCCCTCTGAGGACCATGATAAACGAGCTGAGCGACGAGAGAAACCAAGAAAACCTGTGACTATTGAAGAAGTTAGTGATAGCGACGATGATGAGGAATCAGTGCGCGACAACGTCGAAAAGAGAAAGGAACTACCGTTTGAGAAAGTCAAGCCCGTTCTACAAGAACCAGTACATTCTTCAAAAGCGCGCGTTCCAGATAAATACCAGTTGCGTGCACCGATTCAAAAGAAGGCTGTAGCAGAAGCAGTCTACGACAAAATGAAAAACGCGTCAGTCGACGTCACTGTGGGTGAACTCCTAGCAGTTTCGGGGACTGTCCGCGACTCCATTCTGAAGGACTCTTCGAAGAAACGAGTACCGGTTCAGAAGTCCATGCTTCAAGAAACTGGTCGCGTCGTTGAAGACGTTTGGGATGGAGAACTGAGCTACAACCTAGTCAGTGCTAAGGAATTGCCCGAACCTGTGTTCTATCATAACACAGTTGAAGGAGAAATTCCCATTGGCGCAGTTGTCGCGACGGATCCATATGAGATGTACTTGGAGTCGATACCCTCTAATGAGAACCCAAGACATGTCTATGTTGGTGATTCGTCGGCTGCTCTCAGAACGATAAACGGACGGATTAACGCGCGTCTCGACGCGGACTGCATCCTAGACAGTGGATCTCAGATTGTATCGATGGCTTTCTCAGAGGCCGTCGACGCACAATTGAGCTGGGACCCAAAAGTCGTCATCTATATGGAAAGTGCAAATGGATCTATCTCTAAGTCACTGGGATTAGCGAGAAATGTACCCTTCAGGTTTGGGACCATCCTGGTCTACCTGCAAGTGCACATTTTGGAAAGTCCAGCTTATAAGGTGTTGCTCGGCAGACCGTTCGATATCGCGACTGAAAGCAATATCAAGAACGCGGCTGACGGCAGCCAGATAATCACCATGCGCGATCCCAATTTAAAGACACGTTGTGCAATGGCTACGCAGCCACGTCGTGCAGACGACTTGCCGCGTAACACCAAAAACAACGACGGATCTACCGAGCCCTACAGTTCGTCGAAACCGACGGCCAGTCCAGACGAACCGAACCCTGAACGGGATTTTCAAAGAGCTTCGAGGAATTGACCAGGTTGAGTCAAGGAGAAGAAGTCGCGGTGACTGTGTCGTTGGGAAAAGATGGGAATGTAGTGTTCGAGGATCTAAGAGAGCCGCGTTCTAGCGGCCAGTTTACCCAAACTGAGCTAGTAGAGGCATATATCTTGTCGTCGAAAGAGGACAAGGAAATGAAGAAAGACGTCGCTGCGTCGACTTTGTTTCATTCATATATGAATGAAAGACTCTCAGACGCGGCAACAGAAAAACTGACTGTTGGTACTTGGAGTGTACTAGACGACGACTCTTCTAGTCGCAACAAATACTCTGTGTTCGCAGGAAAGAAATACAAACCTGTAGACCAGAAGGTCAGAC